CAGCATCAGACTGTCAGCAAACAGCACAGGAAAGGCCAGTTTTACAATAATTTCCTGAATCAAGAGAAGAACATCAGACATATACTAGACCCAATTCTGGTGAACTTTGAATTAGAAGATAAACATAATACACAGAAGACGGATAGACCCCGCGGTTATGAAGGCTAAATGGAAAATGGAGATATGGATAAATCTGTCTAAAGCACAATAGCTAACACTGAAGGATAAAGCGTCTTTCAGCGTTTCTTGGAAAGAGGTCTGAACGCCGCCTATTGATAGTACGGGAGTCTCGATACTTGTGATCGGGACTCATGGGCAACCGAAAATGGAGGAAGAATCAGCCCTGAAGAGGAAAACCCGCGGTGAAATTAGTAGAATACGGACGGGAATTGGCAAGAGGTTGAAGTGTGGATTTTGGGACGAATAAATTTACGCTGAACATGCTACAAGTTTAAGATACGGCAGCATTATTCCTGAATAAAACTATGTTGGGCCTTGTAAATGTTGAAAGGCTGGAAAGAGGTGAAAACTCGTTTCTCGCGGGGGTTCCGGAATTTTTGGATGAATTCGATTCATGCCTTGGGGTACACGAAGGCCAATAATGAAGAAAATGCGTCACAAAAACAGTGCGCATGCAATGCAGTAAAATGCAAAATCGGAGCAAAGAGATAAAGCTTGTAGGATGCATGAATACAAGAGTTTTGATTTGCTGAAAATGATTCAGTCTCCCGTGTCTGAAGCAGCGATGACATTCAGATCTGAAGAGCAAGCATGGGACCTCGAGTGACAGGATGTGTAAATTGGTATCATCCGGTGGCGAACGTGTTTTCAATGCGAACAAATGGTTCGATAAAGTAAAGGTGGTGGACCGGATTCGGATTGCGAAGCTTTGTATCAGAGATTAAAAACGAGGAAAGTCCCAAGTCGAAAAATTTTGTCACCCAACCCAGGCCAGGTGCGACCAGCCGAGGTGGTCAATGGCAGAAGAACAAATTTGTGAACTAAGTGGAAACAGGTTACCAAAATACTCGCGAGAACGAGGCGAGGAAAGTGGGGTAATAATCGTCTGGATCACAGGTTGCGATCGCTTACGGATGTGTACAGTTCGGCCACAGTCAAGTTATACATCAAGTGAGTGGTAAAACGAACGACACGGACAAGTTCAGGTGAGTTAGTCTAAGACGCGATTTGCTGGAAACGATCACAACCAGATCGCTTAGATGTGAGCGTACACTGTGGTTGCCATACGGACATTTCATTGTAAATATGAGGCCATGATAGGTAATGGATGCGGAAAACAATGGACGGAGGTTTGGCAAAATCCGGAGCAAAAAGAGGCGAATAACTTAGTCGATGGAGACGGGTAGGAAACAATGTTACCGGAAGTGCTGATAATATAAGAAAGGACGAAGCGCAGCCACCTGAATCACAGTTGGCGTGTGCTAGACTTCGTTCGATGCTTTCCGGGTGATTACCGTGAATTTGTTTCGGCCCTAAAATATCAGTAGTTGAAGGGCAGATTGGGGGTTAAACGAAGGCCAGCTTTTTCGCGTTGACATTGCGAATGTCTCCTCTCCCCCCCTCCGAGGAATTGTTTATAAAGCTTAGAAAACTGTGGAATAGATTAGTGCGTGCTTTGGAGGAAATCCTCCACGATATCGATAGATTACGAAAGCGGTTTGGGGGGGGGGATGCAAAACACCAAAGATAGGTAGTTTCGAAAACCAATACCGGAAATAACCAAGTGACGCTATTGCACGGCAACGTAAGGTTGACAGTTGTGTAACTTGAACTTGAAATTTTTGTTGGGGAGTAAAATCAACAATCCAACAATGGTCTGATGCACCAAGAGAGGAGAACGGAAATAAATCAGAGAAAAGGGAAATACTAGATGTAAATAATTAGTCGGCTGCGTGGGTGCCCGATCACGTACGATCGAGGACACAGAAGCGGATCTGGCTTATTACATACAGTAGATATTCTACAATGGCAGACAACTCCACCACCGAGGATGTGTTAACCAACCGTTATTGTTAATGCCGAACTCATCCAGGATGACAATTTGGAAGCCGGATTATAAAATATTTCCAGCGCGTGACGAAATAACAACAAACAGGGAGCAATCGGATAAGTCACGAGAACGAAATGGAATGTAAAAGTAGTGGTGAAACCGAAGTTTTCAGCATAAGAATCATAATTCGCAAGTGGGAACATCCACATGCGTTTAATACTGGTGAGAACGTGCGGAACAGTGCACCGTGCATTGTGTGAATTTGTTTTTCTATTTGGAGGGGAGGGGTGATGGTGGCAATCATAATCGTAAAATACGGAGGGATCACCAATACTCGACAAATTCGAATCTTTTGACAGACTAAGTATTAAGATGAAGTCTCAAAAGCGACGACGATGAGGGACAAATAACATCCATGACCGGTTATGTATAAACCAACCTGTACTTCATCTAACGCTCGCTTAGCAGCTATACGATCATTTTCATCTTCACATGCCTCCAAAAGTGCAGCCAACTGAGTCTCTTCAACTGCCGGTGCAACAGTCGTGGGAGGTGCCAAAGCAGCAACTGTCGCAGCATCCCCACGCGGTCGGACGTGTCGCCCGCTGCGAGTTATTAGGACTGGGGTCGAGGTGGGCTCCGAATTCTCCACCAGCGGTTCGGAAGTCGGAGCACTTTCAGCATTGGATTTCAGTGCTTCTTGTTTCTGTCGCTCTAGAACTAAATCCTGAAACGAACAAAAAATTAACCATAGGGAAATTCTCCTTCAACGGACTGCTAGTGCAAACTGGCATAATAATCAAACTCACACTGATTGGACTGATTTCGCTGTAGTCATACAGGAACTGATAAGCACCAATTTCAAACATACGCATTGCTGTCAGAATAAGACACACACAGTTTGGATGGCGCCATAACACGATTTTTTGCCTCCTCTTCACATTTTCAGACTTCTGAACTGTTTACTGAAACCTTGCACGTTATCTTCAACAGTTAAAGAACTATTCTACTGGAACAGTTTCTGGTAGTTGGGTTCCCTGCCCTGTGCTTAAAATTCTCCAAAAGCAGAAGAAAATCATGACGAAGTTCACAAGTTAAGAGAGACTAGTAATTACGGAAGAGACAGAATTTGGCCAACCAACTCATGTTAATCTAAATTTATTTGGCACGGTACAAAGCCTTCATGTGATCAGAACTAACCCTCGTACGATAAAGTTAATGTGAACCATCTTAACGCCATTTTTATTCATTTATTCGCTTTCATTCCTATTAATGACAGTTGGGCTCTAATTTCATTAAACATTGACTGTGTATCCGCCTCTGTAGTAAATTTAGTTGAAATTGCTCATAAATCTAAATCGTCTTCTGCAGTAGGTTCTGACGGTCTCCCTTAATGTAATTTTCATATATGGTACAGACATTTTGCGTCAATTGTAACTAATTCGATAAATTAATCTTTTTTTTCTCAATGTTCGACCTGACTCCTGGGGCCCAGTTACCAGTATTCCTATTCCCAAAAGTCCAAACACATATGGATTAGAATACGATTTCAACCCAAATATCTTAGGTCTGTTGTAAGTTACTGGGAAGGTTCTCTTCAACCGTCTTCGAAAGTATCTTAATGTAACCCCTGACCTTTTGAGGTTTACTTAAACCATAAGCATTCAGCATTGATTCTATATCTTGTGGTATCCGCTTCACTGGTGAATCCTTGGACAAATCCGCGCTATCAGTCTACAAACTTCAAATATTCGACCCTATAGTTTAGGACTTGGCAAAACCCACAATTCTGGACAAAAACAAACCTTTGAAACACAACTAGATTATATAATCTTCTAGTCTTTACTGAGAAACGTGGGCGTCCTCCATTGACCGATGTGCATGCAAAACTTTTCCACATTTCTTCCTTCGTCCTTTCATCTCAATTAGAGATGGTATTTACAGGAATATCCTGTGATTCTCTACAGGGAAATAAGCTTAGTAATCTAGTTGTACCGGAATGTGAACAGCAAGCTTTTGGTCAGTCATGTATACTTGATAGGTTGGGGAACATAAAATCACTAAACCTAATTAATTGTGCAAATTTCGAGTGAACGAATCTGTCTTAGTAAAGCATTGCATATTAGTTTCTCATTGCTTGGAACAGAGAGCTCCGGATGGAGGGAGCTTAACAGGATAATGCGCCATATTTCTCCCATAAGGATGAAGACGGTGACGGTCATCTTACTGTGCTACACTGCAAAAATTACACGTACCTAAAAAAGAATAAACAAGCGATTAACAGTCTTACCTGAAGCCCAGAAGGTTCAGCAAATAATTCATCTATGGTATTTTGTTTGAAGAAAGCTGTGGTAAAGCGACCGCCCTCAATGGCAACATCACTGAGAAAACGCTTCTGGTTGGCTTTTCGCAAAATGTTCTCTTCCACAGTCAGCTCACTGATCAGTCGGTAGATATGCACATCACGGGTTTGTCCGATACGATGACAACTGAAGGGAGAAAAATAAGCCATGTTTGTGGTGACAGGTATTACAGGAAGTTCATCTAATCCAACAGTGTGATTCACCGCATAAATAACCGAAAACGGTAGCTCAGTTGAGTTTTTTTTTAATAGTTGAATGGCGTGTTCACATCAAGGCAACCTTAGAATAAGAGCTAACTACCGTCGTCACAAGCTTCATCCTAGATATCCGCGGGATGATCAGATTATCTTCAATTACTACTATTTATGTGTCAAAGAAGTAATTGAAACACATAATAGAACTATTCCCTCTGAAAGTAAAATGTCATTGCTACAACTAATTTACTGATGTTTGCGATAAAAATCCGGATTTCTACTATTCGGAATCGGATAAACGACGGCCAGAACAACATGAAAAATGCGTTGCATGTGCTTGGAAAAGTCGTGGATAACGGAGGAGTTAGGAGGACCGGATTATCTAAGTAATAAAGCCCCATCAGCTGACACTAGTCATTTGAACCCGTTGGGTTCTACTCGAATTGATGGGCAAGGTCATTTGTTGTAATACGCGATCTGGTAGCCAGCGACTAATATGATTGTAAATTCGGATTGTCCCATTTCTATCCGGTTGGTTGTTGAATCACTTTCTCAATCTTCATTTTGAATATTTTTTTAACACCGGTAATATTTTCTGGTGCCATCGAATGCCTTACTTTTACAAAGCTGGACAAAATTCACTTCCCAGAATACATACGTAACTTGAATACCTGAGTGAACCCGAGTAGCTTTCAGAAGCTGAAACAATAAATAGCTCAGATAATGGGTAGTTGAGTGAAATGAATGCAATAAAATGTTTAGGAGCGAACGAAAAATATACATGCATCATATGGAAAGCAATCAAAGGTCTCGTATCTACAAGGGGAGTATGGGACAGAAATCTCACCGATCTTGGGCTTGTGCATCCATAGTCGGATTCCAATCAGAGTCATAGAAAATAACCGTGTCTGCTCCGGTCAAGTTTACACCCAAACCACCGGATCGTGTGGACAGGATAAACACAAAAATGGATGCATCTTGATTGAAACGTTCCATAAGTACTTGACGTTGCTCCACCTTGGTCGCCCCATCCAAACGCAAATATCGGTGACCGTGGTAAGCTAGAAACTGCTCAAGAATATCTAACATACGGGCCATCTGGGTGAAAATAAGGACGCGATGACTCCCGGCTTTTAGTTCCCGTAATAACAGATCCAGCCGCTGCAATTTACCTAAGGAGGGAAACAAAGCGATTCTTTATAATTAGAACAGTCTAGCTCATGATACACAAAACTTCAAGCATACTGGCCTGATAGAAAATGGTAGGAACGCTATTGCTATCGGTTTACTGGCATACTATTGAGTGTCTCAAACTAACCAATTACGGGCTATTTCGGATCAGAGCATATAAGAGAGTTAATTTAGGTAATTTTTTGTGCATTTCTTAGTGCCTAGTTTATACGTCATCTGGTGACTTCTCCGTTAATGAGCAGCAACTGCAAACGATGCGCCGTGCGGTAGATCAATACCATATAAGCGCAACTAACTCCTGAAGTCCATTCAGTTGAATCCAGTTTTAATGATCATTGCAAACCTAGGAAAGAACAAACAACGCACAAGGTGTGCTTTGAGGTCTTAGCTTAGGAAGATTGCAGTATTCTACAGGAAAACAAACCCTCACTAATGACAAACATGAGGAATGTTTAGAGGTTTCCGAACTGTCCGCGAAGCCTAGAAAACATAGTACCGATCGGTTCATCACTTAGTCTTTTATCCTCGACATATGTCACGAACACATTTGCAAATACAACACAATTTTACCAAACAATATAGTTTCATGATTCATCAATACACGGCAGAAGAAAGCGGTTCTATTCACATAACATGGATTGAAATAAGTAGTTTTAAAGCAACTTTAGTATGATCTAAATTAAGTGACATACCTATCTAGTGTGGTTAAATACTACCAGTCAGGGACGCATTAACGAACCCAGTCCGAAAGCATCATAAAATTTGCTTTGTGTTATGACCATACGATCAAAATCATAAATGTTAAATCTGAGGTTGATTTGAAAGAAATGATTAATCTGATACGAAAGCCAGCATCCAGGAGCGTTTAACTCATTCAAGATAATCATATACTTGGAGATGAAGAACATCCTTGACAACCCCGCACTTACCGCAATCATACTGAATAAGACGGGGGTCAGGAAATTGGATGCGACAGGCCGTAGCGATTCGATGTAACTGTACGGGCAATAGCCAGGCTTGTGGACTGAGGGGAATCTGATTTAACAAACTGCCTTTGGAATTAGATTCACGGTGAACGGAGAGGTCTTGCTGAATGCAAACTTTAGGGAGACATTCCGCCTGCAGGAAACCAGTGAGGCGTTCTTCTTGTTGACTCTTTTGGGATTGATATCGAGCTGATGAAACATTAATGTGAAATCCCGATGAGACGGCTGCCGGAACAAAGAATGCGAATCTGTTGAATGTAGGAAAGAATATTCAGTATTCCAATAGATTATTAAGTAACGCATCGTACAGTAATTTTATAACGGCTGTTGAAAAAGATCAACGATGGATTCAAACGTTTCCATTCATCACTCTGAACAGTTCTCGAAACGCCGTTCAACAACCCATGTAAGCGGAATCTGCTGAAGTTTGACGGACTGTTTTCTTGTATTGATGTTGCATTTTTACAGAACTGATACCGCGGGACCATCGGTAACTAGCTCACCTAGGGGGAAGCGGGTGAGGTGACAAACTGATTTCGGCACATTGCAAGAGGTATATAAAGTGGTTACGCTGGAAGAAAACGGAAGGGATGCATTGGGGCAACTTGGAAATAGGAACCTCAATCAAGGAACTTATGATCAAACTGGGTGGACGCCAAACCTAAATGAAGCGTAAAATCAAAGCGCTGACCTACAAGGTCAGAATATCGGAATATTCGATTGAACGCTAGGAATAAGGTCTCCTAAATCAACCCCAACTCCGGCTTTGATAACCGAGCAACTGTTTGCGAGAGTGAAATGACTATGAAAACGAACACGCCTTTCGTATAAGCATGGACATTTGATCGTCTGATTTTTGTTGTTTCAGACTGGCATTTAAGTACATACATGGACATGATGCGAACGAGTAGGATGACACAAGTAAATCTAAATACCCATTCTTGAAAAAAAAACAGCCTCCGCATAAAATCGGGAACTTTACTCTTGCAAATTTTTTTGAATTCCAAGCATGAAATGTGTTTGGGATGATTATTGCCGGCAAGTGGATTTAGGAAGAAATGATTAGAAACTGAACTGCAGTTTGTTGCATTGGATGGTAATCGTGGCAGGTAGAGATATGCAAAAAAAATTTCTTTTACCTTGCTGCTCATCTCACCTTCCCGATTGGGCAGTTCAGCGAATCCAAATTTTGACATACGTCAGAATTTAGACTGTGAGCCAAACACACCATAGTACAATAATCTTTATAAAAGAGAAGACTCCATGATTTATTTGTGGGCCAGGTTTTCCAGGATAAGGCAGGTAAATTTTCTTGAGGAATTCACAACCGGAGCCTTCAACTAGCCAAAGCCTGACACGCAAGGAAGCGGTGCGATGTGTGAAAACCGCAATCCATTGAGGGCCGGTGTCTAGCTAATCGGATCATACGTACTCTGAATGAGGTCAAACGTCCAGGGTGCCCAGTGCACTTCCATACCCAATCGAGCCGGTGAACACTACCATGACCAGGAATATGGGTTGGAACCGACTCTCTTAGATGAGCTGCCAGAGGTTCACCAACCAGGTTATAGCCCCGGAGATTAGCTTTTCTTTCTCCCACTTTAGTGGGGAAACACCTCCGCCGTGTGAAGGCAGTGAGTATATACTGAACAACCAATGGGAACGAGAGAGGCTTAGGTCTACCGAATGCCCAAATTTCAGTTATCCAGGAATAGTGACAATCATTTTNTTGATTATACAGAAACGGTGGATGGCCGGGAGAGCACGCCAATTATGTATGACTAGAACGCCTTTCTATTTCGCAAGTCCGCTGTTACCACAGATAAGCCACAACAGAGAGTGAAAAACAGGTTTTGTGCAGGCGATTCAGTACTCGGCTCATAAGGATGAAATGCCCACCCCGGCTTCGTGCAGACCACGAATTGTTCTTCTCAAGCACCATCTTTCTGGAAAAGAACGACACCAACTGGTCAGAAAAACGCATCAATTTTATCAACGAGTAACAACAATCGATCGCATGACCATTATATACTGGTCAGCACTCGTCAATAACGACCATGTCCTGCTGCGACCCAGATTGTCTACGATGAATAGACAACCGCAACACCACCACTAGAAACCGGTCGCTACAGCACAATAGAAGCGACACCTACAAATCACCTCTCGACGCGGAAGTCGAACACCGCCTCTTNCGCCGAAGGACATTGGCAGCAAATCAAAGATACCATTCAGTTACCTATCATTCTACCAATGGATTCTGACACATGGTCAAAGCACAAAGGACGGGCTTCCTTGACCTGCTGCTTTGTTCAGCGCTCAAAGAAAAGTTCCTCTCAATGCAGTGACACTTTTCTCATTTGGATTTCAGTCCCTGAAAGCTTATTCATTAGCCGCATTTCAGTTTCCTATTTTTCAAGGATGAAACAGCTGTCCAGAGCTCTTTATCATCCGTCGCACATATTATTTGATAAAAATAATCTAATGTAAAATACAGTTAAAAGGGAATATCTCACCGCTGGAGTACATCTGAAAGCGATTCAATGTAATCAGCTGGAGAAGCCAAAAGCATTCTCAATGCCGCAGAATCATCACACCACGAGAAGTTTTGTCTCCAAGGTGCTTCTTTCACGAACGGTTGCGTGGAAGAATCCTTTGATACATCCAGTGGAATGCAAGCAGCTTGCTCAATTCGAGAGGAATGCGCAGTTCGATTGCATACATGGGACCGACTGGGCCAGGAGGACAAACTTTGATGGCATCGTAACAGTCCTTCAGTTAGACCCGCATACAATGAATCCACGGGTCGAATGAATGAAGAACTCGAATTACGCACCATACGAGTAATCAAGTGCACTACATCTGGACCAATACGTGTGCCGAATTGATGGCTTTCTAATCCCATTGAATGTTCTGACAAATTCAGTATATCACAGCGACGTTCGTTAATGCGAGCCAGAGACACTAATCGACGCTGTCGTTCGGTAACACGCGAACGAAGCACGGATTTTGGCATTCCATTATTCCAAGGTCTGACAGGTGCACTTGCTGACAAACAGAAATAAAACGGAGGGGAGGGGGAATATTAGTACAGTTAATTTGATGAGTCGATTTATTTAATTAGATTATCTAAAGAACTTACTCTCATAAAAGACAGGCTCCACAGGAAGTGCGGTTGGCAGGGTTGGATAACCAAAGGTACCTAAAAATGTAGTGCAGATACATTAGCACATCAGAGCATCATTAAAAGTAAAAAGCAAAATAGGCAGTAGATTAGAGAGAACAGTTTAACCAAACCGAAAGTAGCTGAGAAGGCTCAACAAAATGTGTTATTCGGTCATCGAAGTCTCATTAGCATTGTCCGCTTGTGTTAGCAACGTCAAACCGAGATTCTACATCCTTTCTGTGCACGGGTAACCGTCCACGAATCGAAAGGATTACACTGGGTTTGATAGCATGCTACATCTTTCATACCGACCGCTGTACGTGACTTCTGAGTACAGCTGGAACAAGTGTTGCCGTGGTCAGTTGACGATTTATTGTAATGGTTTGACGAAGTTAAAGGCAGTACTAATTATGGTTGGTGGGGGTGTAGTGGCTTAGTCACTGTCACACGCGTACCTTAAACCGTATGGTCCGCAGTTCGAACCCCGTCACCAGCAACCAAATTGGTGACAGGCAGCTTTGTTGTTGTTCGGTTCAACACCACACCTAAAATAGGGGGCTTATGTGCATCACTACTCCAAGTTTCAAGGCTCAGGTTGCTGGTCTCCATCACTGGGCAAGTTATCGTGACTATGGGGGCCACGCCGTCTGCTAATCATCAAACACGTGTGTAGCAAACAAATTTAAAAAAATTCTACCCGTTAGGGACCGGTGGGATTGCAAGTATTCTTGGTTAGAAATTCTAAGGGATAAAACTCCGAATTGGAAACAACGATGTAAATGTTGCGAATATTTACCGTGAATATCCACGATACCCTCCTGAAATGACAAATTGCCTGCAATGTAAACTATGGACAACCCGGTACTTTTTATCAATTTTTTAGTCAATCAATATTGTTTTATATAGGGCTAGGATATTGCATTACTTAGATATTTTTGAGGGTTAACAGCAGACGGAGTAAACCCCATGGTCAAAACGACTTGCTATTCAGTCATGAAAACCAACAATCTAAGCTCCGGGACTTAAAATGGCGAATCAAATAAGGCCCCATTAGATTAGGCGTGGTATTGAGACGGGCAACGGCGAAGCTGGTTATCACCAAAGGTGGCGTTCAAACCTTGGATTCCAGAACCAGTGACAGCAACTTGAACCATTCGACCACCACCATCACCCAGAATGCTTACTAAATGCACCGGCATATATATATATTATATATATATATAATATATATATCTATATATATCACCAACGGTACTAGGAGAACGGTTACCTAGGTGATGAGCCCGTCCATCAAACGAACGGTTTCGGACTGTTAGTGGATTGCTTCATGACGTAGCGCGTATTCGTCTGGCTAACAAACCCCTTAAAAAACTCCACAAATATTTGACGACGGCATCGTATCGCATGCAAGTATAACCTGCCACGTAATAGAACTAGCGTCCCTTTGTTTCGACAATGTTCATTTCTCCGGAAAGGAAACGAGCACGGAATTTTGGATTCCCAGTGTTGATAAACTACCACTAAGAAGAAATAGGAACCGTCGATCGATTATTGGCTGCAAACACCGTCTTGCTGCCATATAGATCGCTCGCCCTTGGTTGTGTATGAACCAGAGATGTGCTCTCCAACAATAGCGCTAGGGACGTCACTATGTAGAAAAGTAGGGGCTTTACTAGGTGAGGTAGTCGATTACGATGTGTCATCTTCACGATCACAGAGTAAACATTGTCCCCGAGTTGGAAGTTAACACCTCGAATCAAGCACGAGAGTAATTACAGAACTTCAAGCGGATACGGTTTAAAGGACATAGAAGAAGTTCGATGAACAACTATAGTTGTCATTGGGTTGAGGTTGTGATTAGCCGAACAAAAAACTGATTTCGTTGGATTTGATGCTCTTTAGATTTGCTCTGGCATGTTCCAGAGGAAACTCTCTGAACCCAAATGGTATGAGCCTCATCAATGTAAGGGTACATCATGGAACGGAGATGAGAAAACGCGAAAGGTTCTTATTATATCCTTGTACTCGCATGATTTAAGACCCACTTTGAAATCGTCAGAAGAAGCAAAATCAAATCAAATCTTGGGAGCAGTAAGAAACATGATTGACCTAGTCAGAGGGTATTGCTGCCAACATGGTCTCGATCACTGAAATTGAAGAGACACTAGACAATCTTGAAAACATCGATTAGTACAAATTGGAGCGGAGTGAACAATATAAACATCAAAAAATTAACCCAATACAAAAAATTGAACCGAGTTGTGGTGACTAAAAATCAGAACACAATTAATAACGATCTTAAGGCCACGTAGAACAAGTCACAGAGAATCTCGTACGGTCAAAGTGCTTAGAATGCGATGGAGAAAAAATAAAAATATTTAAATAAAAAAGGATATTTTTTCATATGTCAGATGACGAACGAGCGCGAGGTGAACCAATTATAAATAGACGCATTCAACTAGGAGGTTCATGTTCTCATTGTTATTAGCCGTCGATTTCCCACTCCACCCGTCCCATGAAAAAGGATAAGAAATTACCATGGTCATTATTGAAATGTTGCATGAAATCCTCTTGCACTTCCTTGATGACGGCTCGAGGAAATAGCGATGTTTTCCGATGGAGAGCGTTTGTATCCGATTTCTTGGTTCTAATATTGGTTAGCAACGACTTCCGTTGAGCGTCAACTGGTGCAATAAAGACAGATATTACCGACAAAAGCGATAAGAAACATGCATTACGAGGAAATCTCATTTAATGAACTCTTCATTAGATCGCTGATTGTAAAAATAAGACTTCATAACATATATGGGGATACATATATATTCATAATGACAATCCTGGCCGTGATTGTGGATCGTTGCGGTCAATTTTCCAGTCAATTCGCAATGCACCAAAGGTGATAAATCAATAAATTAATTAAGTGGTCTGAGAATAAAGTATTCGTACGACAAAAAATATCACAATTTGAAGGCAGCCCTGAGTGACAGATCACCGCGGAAAATCATGGGCAACATATCGATTCAAGAGAACGTAAATCATCTGTAAAAAAATCAGATTATTGCAATTTGTTGGATAAGTGTGACAACCTTGGTAACGTAAAAATTAACAATCTGCAAGCTCCAACAATGGGAGTTTCCTGATCTTGCCGTATAATAAATATTGGCTTTTTAAAATCACATTCTTTTACCATATAGGATGAACACATATAACGTAAACTAATCGACAAAATCCCGGTTCAGTTTTTTTTTGCACAACCATTAGCCATGCACTATCGTGCGCCGGATTTGGTTGCTAACTTTCGGCTACCCAGTTGGATGAACATTAGGAGAAAGACAGGTTGAAAGTAGGATCGAAGAGAAAATTAAAAAGTTCAGTGGACTAATGATACAGAGAAATTGAGAAGATGCACGAACGCCACTGTTTACGGCACCCAGCCATATCACGCAATGTCTCTAACCATCGATGACCATCACCCCAAGGTCCCCAGCCAGGGAGCCTAAAGGGGCCTATGTGACCCAGAATCCTGGTTAGGGTTTTCATGCCCTCATGCTAGGTCTTAGCTTGACCACCCTGGGCTTTATTCCACTCACTAACTGCCTCGGCAAACATCGCGTAACAAATGCCCAACCAACGTAATCTATGGTGGTCGACCGCGGTTGCCTAAAACTTCTCGCCTGACCTCAGCATTCCGGCAAAATCTAGTCTTTACAAGACCCGTGATCGCAGTTGGAGCTAATCAAAAAACGAACAGATACATTAGGGACAAAAAATGGAAAAGGTAAACTGAATATCATACCATCATCCATGACACCCATTGTATCGATCACTTGAATCAAATTCGGACGAGCGCAAAGATGGCGGCAGCGATGCGCCACAAACGTCGGTAGATCCCTAGCCATTTCAACCAGATTGGTCATCTGGCCCAGTAGACGAGCTGCGGCCCCGGCCCTATCGAGCCAATCTAAACAGGGCTCAGTGAATGCGGATGCGCCGCTCAGAAGACTAGGGCCACCATTTGGAGAAGATGCGAAGACCAGGAACGGATGACTGATATTCACCAAGAGTCGAGGTAAATCCAACTGCAGCAGATAATCTGCTACATGAAACGAAGAAATTATCGGACGGGTTTCAAACAAATTCGGATGGTTGCACACTTTGCGAAGTTGCATCAATACATTCATCACTGAGAGGAATTGACCAGATTTGAGTGTTTCCCGAGTACTGAATAAAAGGTACAGAGGGAAAAGGAGTATCGCGCTTGGTGAGCAGAATTGAGGAAGCACAGAGATAACACTGACTACGTTAAAACAAGACGTCTTGAGCGAAACTACAACAAATTAAATAGACAAAGGTCACAAATAACCCCTTCTGACTGTTCAGAATGTATGATAGCTTCAAAAGTTTTCATTCTATTCGAATCTACGATTTGCGTCATGATTTTTATTATAACCGCACAGCTTATTCTTGATATTCGATTCCCAAATGATCGTCTTTCAGTAACATTTCAAGTCTGGACAATGATTCCACGGGTAATAAAAATGGAAGCTGGAAGCATGTAGGAATGCATTCATTTTACAAAAAGTATGCTTATTTAGGAGGATGATATTGGAATACATATACAAAAAACAACTGCTTGACTGGATCGTTGTCGATCATACTGATTGTTTGTTGATGCCGACCAATCACGGAAAATCGACGATCGTTGTTCTGATTGGTTGTATCAGGACAGACAGCTTCAGGTAGTAAGCTGAATGCCTGAAAATGTTGTGTCTGAGTGGCAGTGCAGCAAAGACCTTAGAAGACATCAAAACACTTCCAACACCATTCAATCTCACGTTGTTTTTAGTGTTCTTGGCTTAGAAACGACGAGAGAGAACAGAAAATCTCTTTTAGTTCTTTATCGTCGTAGCTCATTCAAACATTTCGGTGAGAACACAAAATTACGAACAAGACGCGACTTTGTCAATAATATCGGTTTCTCCATACTCTAAATCACCCATTCTATTTTTCATTTTCATACTGTCTGTTGTTATAGTATACCCGTAAACTTATGAGTCTATTTCAACAGATTTGAATATGGGTGTGGTGTAGCTCAGGTTGATGGTTTGTGGGGTCTTGTGTTTGCTGAGCTTGGCGTTTAGATCGCAAACGTTTCATCATCAGCCGAGGTGACATCGTCAGTGCGTTGGGTCCAATGTCACGATGTCACCTCGGCTGGTGATGAAACGTTTGCTATCTAAACGCCAAGCTCAGCAAACACAAGACCCCACAAACTTATGAGTCTATTTCTAAAATCATAATCTTCTTATTTCCGAATAAATTTTACATTAAAGAAATGTCTAATGTAGTAGACTTGGTAAAGCTTGAGAAGTACCTCGTTAGTGACATGAAATCGTCGTAGAGAAAACGCTGACGGCGAGATAAACGGCACATAACGATATGCTCGAACTTTTTGGGCATTTGACGTTCAACATCCGCCTTGAGGCGTCGCAAAAGAAAAGGGCGGAGAACTTTGTGAAGTCGTGCGACAAGTTGTTCGTTATATTCGCTGTTACCCTCGATCATACCTAAAGCGGGGGGAGAGAAATAAAAATGTACAACCGAACATGTTTGCTGAATTATCAAACAACAAACACGGTGATACGACGTGCAATAATAGTAATAAATAAATATTTTCAATTTCTCTTTCATTTATTGAGTGTACAAATGTGCCGTTAATTTTCGGGAAGGTGCCCGCGGCCATATGAAGTCTGTCTAGAGCATTACCTGGCGGTTTTCCACTGAATAACTACTAGTTTCCACTACTGAAACCGCTGATTCTTTGTTGGTAGTTAATCACTTATCACACCCGAATAAGACGTTATGAATATCAATATAAACGTTCAATCATTCAGAGAGGAAAAAAGAACACAAGAATAAATCAGTGGGTAAACCGGGAGAGAAAAACAAGGCATTTCTGCAACCTACATCAGAATTTCGGTTATTAGTAGAAATGTAACCACTGATAACACCTAACTTGCGTTACGAAGGGTGCGAATAACATCGCAGAGTGCATGTGATAATCCATTAGCAAGTGTGTGCACAAGGGGATGGATAACTTTTAGGGAAACGAGTGGACCGGCACATGGTGATCCCACACAGATAACGGTGTATTTCCTAGTCTCCGAAGTAGTCGTATTCTAAAAGGCTCAAGTCGAAATATTAGTTTTGTCACTCCCGGTTTCAATCTACCAATCAATAAATCTGGAGTTTTAGAATATTTCTTGCGTCTGCAGTAGATAAAATCAGAGATTTAAACCTGAGTCTTTTAGAATGCGACTATTTCAAGGTCTCGGAGATAGTGATGCATCGGTATATTCAACTGCAATTGAAACATATGCATCCGGTTTTAACATAAACAAGCATTCAGAAACATTGGGGCGTGGCTTACGGCACACGGAAACAAGTCCAGTCGACTAGTGTGAAATGACAGGCTATTCTTTATACATATACCTGGGAGAATTAGGGAACATATATAGGTTCTACAAGTTGTCAAGCTCAAAAAATTCCTCTATCTATTCGTGTTTCACACTACTAAACATGAGCATTTTATCATGTTCGATTCTCGCTCTCGGTTACTACTGATATAGATATCAAGAAATTAGTGTTGCGGCCGCAATTCACAGCCGAGGAAGAATTCACCAACAGAGCGTTACGCGGATAGAAGAGGAATCATTTGTGTGCATTGGAAGACTGTGGGAACAAACGAATTTCACTGCAAATGCAAACGTAGCGGAGATCGAGCTAATTAGATCTTCCGTTCAACAATACATATCTGGTTTGTTCAGATGATACGGATTAATGTTGTTTTCCCGTCAAAATTGGAGTATTTACTGCGTCGATTTACTGATTCCCACTCCAAACGAAGAATCACACCTCTGAGTTAGTGTCTAAAATCAGAAGCCTTATGGAAGACCGAGAATAACATAATTCGAGGTTAAGCTTGGTAAGGTACTGAGGGGAGCGCCTATGCGTCTTCTGAAACCACTTAAACTACATCGGTCAGCAGAGATGATAGTATTGCTTACCCGTGAGTGGTGATGCAAACCATTCTTGGAAATCACGATGTGATTGAAAGATATTTGGCATGAGAAAGTGCATAAGAGACCACAGTTCCATTAGGGAATTTTGCAAGGGAGTCCCGGTGAGAAGAAGTCGACGTTGACTGTTGAACGTAAGTAACGTTTGCCAACGCTGTGACTTAAAATTCTTTATGTTTTGTGCCTGAAAAAAAAAGAAAAAAGCGAAACTTCAAGTTACCAATGCACTTCCGTTTCAGCAATACCTAAGCGGAAAAAGGAAGCAGATTTGTTGTCTTTGGTGGTCTGTTCGTAAAAACTAAACAGTTGGACCAGAAAAATGAACTCTTGGTAACAACTATACAACCAGTTTCTACGGTTAGCGCGGTATGATTAAAAGCGTGTTCTGGGATACGAGACAAGTGAACGTGAGAAGTAGGAGAACAGTAGTGAAAATAATACAGGCTTTTTCAAGAGATATTATATGAGCTATGTTGAACATTTGGTCATGAAAAGGGATACAAAAATAGAATAAACGCTAGTCTCATAACGCTTGATCTTTAAGATAAGTAACTGGGGAAATCTGATCCCTTACGGATAGCTGGTTATACGGTCTCAGTCTGGAGTGAACAGTACGACCTTGAACATAACTGAAACAGAAGGCAAACATGTACATTTCGCCTGTGCTCTATTATTTGAACCAGTCGGTATATTGTGAGACTAAAGTTCGACGATCGAAAAAGCACTTCATGTACATTATTTGATTTCAGAAATCCAGAATAAACGCAAATTGCAAAATGACTGTATATGTATTTTTCCCTGAAACACAAGATGGATGGGTTACATCTACTTAAGGTCATCCGAACTTGAATAAGAGTGTACACTGAATTACGATATACTTGGTTCGATTTCGCTGCTAGAAGACTTCAACAAATCATTTATATTTACCTCGTTTCAATTAGAGAGCGAACCAGCGATAGTGAGATGAGGTTTCCCTGATTAAAAGGTCACGTACCAAATGCATACATCGATGATGGACGAGTACCTCTAACCATGTATTCAGAAGCTTGGTAATTGGTTCACCTGAGACAATGGAGAAAATGATAAAAAAACATCGGCGAACATTTCGTAATGATCCAGACTGATGGCGTATAAGGCCAGCAGACCAACTCCTTTGGTGAACGGTTTCGTTAGCAGACCCCCACTGTGCTGTTTTCTTCTTTACAACCCAAACAATTACTTTCGCTATACCAATGGGATGGGTTTGTCGAGTTTGGACCATTTTAATCCATCACATCATTGAGATAATTATCAATTAATCATGTAAAAAATAGATAATAAAACAAACTAAAAAGCAAATAATCAACTTAATTTAAGACAAGTTCAAATTGATGAAGAAGATAGTTGGTACAAAAACGCACCTCGTCCAAAATGAGATATTTCCATTTTTTGCGCTTGAACACAGCCGCATCTTGGATGGCCAATCGATAAGAGGTAATGCACACGTGAAAAGCATTTGTTTTTGTCCAACCCTGAAAATTCCGAAGTTTTTCATGAATACATCAAAACAGAGTGAAAGACTTTATCATACTTTCTGCGACGAGTACATAAAGGCATCATCTTTGGGGTGATAAGTAAGTTACCTTTGTCCCAACAAGAAGATTATAATTATCTCAGAAAAATAACACACTGCCGTAGGACCAGAGGTATCTGTACTTTGACAGTGTTCAGTTTCAGTTTGTGCAACCATTAGCCATGCACTATCGTGCGCCGGATTTGGTTGCTAACTTTCGGCTACCCAGTTGGATGAACATTAGGAGAAAGACAGGTTGAAAGTAGGATCGAAGAGAAAATTAAAAAGTTCAGTGGACTAATGATACAGAGAAATTGAGAAGATGCACGAACGCCACTGTTTACGACACCC